AAGGTTAGAGGGGAATGAATGAGATGGAAATTTGCGCATGGTGGTTTTTAGGCAAAGAAATAAACTTAAACTGCATTGATAAATACCTCCAGAGATCTCATCCGGGCATGTCAAGGCAAGCACAATCAAGATGAAACATAGTGTCTTAAAAGCCATTTTGCTGTCTTGGGTTTTCTGAAATGAATTAAAACTTGTTAGCGGCCTCCATAGTACAAGTTATGAGTAAATTCAACTTTTGTGCATACCGCAACTCAGCTTGAAATATCCAACGAAAACTGGATGTGTTCAATCAGCAATCGTAGAATCGGCGTCAAGTGTTTAAAAGCTCAATACAAGTTATTTCACTTGAAGAAAAAGGACTCATCTGAAATACTCACTTTGAGAGGTTTACATAAAAAGAAAGTTAAAAAGAGGTGATGTGTAATAGTAACAGGTCCACGATTTTCGTTTCTTCCCAGATAAAATTAAAAAGAAAAAAATCCTTTCTATTAGTCGCCGTGTCTTTTTGTTCTCCGGAATAATCATTTTCTTTATCGTTAGCTATCTTTTTTCTTTAGAAATTGAATGAAAATGTGATCGGATGACCTCGATGTGGTCATTGTCGAAAAAATTCTTTTCCTTCCGTTTCTCCTTGGGGAGGGTGGAGGGTACGGCGACACATAGGCTATGTAAGAGTTCACTTGATTTTCCAACCATTAATCATGATGAGGGCAAGAGTCAAGATTTTTAAAAATCATGTTGAGTAATTCAAAACTTACCTCTGCACTCTTCTTCGTGTCAATCTTTAGCAGATTTCTGACGCGCCGTTGAATCTTTTCGTGGCTCTTTTATAGTCTGCTAAGCCACTTAGCTTTTAACTGAGGATCGCCCCAAAGCTGTTAGTTGTATATTTGCTGTACAAGACAAGTCAAACACAACTAGAGTGCTTTAATTGATCTCAAATGAATTGGATTGATTTGTTTGCCTTTCCGAGTGCTTTGTTATCTGCAAATGCAGTTTGAGGTAATCAGCCGTTTTCATCCAAATAATAGCATGTTGATCTTTTAAAGTTACCCTAAGTTTGCCGCCTTTCCATTCAAAGATGCTTGCTTCCTAAGCTCTTTATACCCTTTCAACAGTATACATATTCTCCAGATGGTACCCTATACATTCCTGGTGGTTATTAAGCGGAGAATTTGCGTGGCAATCAAGAGCTCCTTAGGTTGACGATCATTTCCTTTGTTCTCACGGCTTTAAAGTTTGATTTAGCAGTGACACAGTGCGGAGGAATTTGATGCTAATCAGAGGTTAACGACTAATACCTCTTTGCTTGTAGTGTGGGATTAGAGTTGGAGTCTATGCTTACTAACACATAACCCGCAATCCAACACACAGATGACAACAGAAGATAATGCTATGCATGTTAACGAACAACACGAGTAAAAGTGTTTGTTCAGAATTCTCTAGGTGTTTGTTTCAGCTGATTTGATAGGTAAATTTCTAACATTCTTTTAGCAGTTGACCCCAAAGGTTTCCTAAGACATTTCAAACAAGACTACCCCAACTTAACTAAAAGTAGTTTTATCTTATTTGCTTTCTTCAGTAGCATACCAGTTAAAACTAACTGCAGAGTGACATAGCGTCAGAACCAGTTGTATATTTCCCAAGCTATCCTGACGTCAAGTTTCAGGTAGTTTGATCAGTTTATTTTCTGATATTTGGTCAGTAAGTGTCCAAAGCAAATACGATTAGGGACCAGCTGGTCATAAATTATCGTCTGAGGGAAGGAGTGGGGGGTTTCAGAACATTTTGGTTGTGTCACAGTGCATCTCACCAACCAAGAGTATAACCTGGTTCTGGCGAATTGTTAGAATGGCTTGGTGGGGGGCGCGTTGGCCTAANCTTTTGTTGGGACAACCCAGATTTGATGCAATTTTAATTTTTGTGTGTGTGTTGAATAAGCCAATCTCAAGCAGCATTTGTAAATTGCCTATACGTAGTGAGATTTACAATTGTACATTTAAAACACAAAGTTTCCATTTCAAACTGTTTCTCTTCTTTTTCCCCTTTCTCTCAGCATGTGACTGTAATCCCGCGGGATCCGTGTCCCTCCAGTGTGACCGCAATACTGGGAAATGCCAGTGTAAACAGGGCATGATTGGCGACAAGTGTGACCAGTGCGCCCCGGACACCAGCGGCAAAATGCCTCAGTGTGAAGTTTGCGGTGAATGTTATTACCAGTGGAAGGTCACGCTAGAGCCTCTGTCACGCAACATTAGCGTTGACGTATCGAGAGCGTATAACCTCTCTCTCACTCCTCACCCAGGTACGTTTTATATAAAGAAAGCGTTTGGGTTATTCGAGTTCCATTAGTATTTTCTATGCGTGACATTTTTGATGCATCCCTTCATAAGCTAGTCCCCATCACAGCCTTTTGATGCAGTCACGCAATGCGCTCTTTTCTCCTCACCACAGTGAGCAATGATTATGAAAGAAGCACAAGTGACCCATCTAAACCGAATTAAATTTTCCGTAGGAAGTGGAAGTGTTAACGCCTATGAGAAGGAGGTGAAGGAACTGGAAGACAAACTGAAAAGAGTACAAATGATACTGAAAAATCAAGCTACTACTGAAAATGATATGATGGCACTCGAAAAGAATTAGACTCCATCGACGTTGAGCTGCAAGTGGTGCAAGGCCAGGAAGAAGTGATGGAGAAGGACGTGAGTTCATCTGAAATGCGAACAGAAGACGCAAAAACTGAGATTCAGATGCTATGCGAAAGGCTAGCGACGGCAGAGGGCGCCAACGATGCAGCTCAAAAAGACATTGAAACAGCTGAAACTATCCTAAAAGATGTAAGATCGACGTTACCATATTCTTTTTCTTTTTTTACTTTTTAATTTCTGTATTGACTTTCATTTTACTGATAGAACACCTCCAACAGCAGAAATTTCGTATGTTTAAACGTTCTGGGCGTATGGTTACCAGGCTTGTCTCTGGATCAAAACATCCACCTTTGCGTCGTGGTACGATCATTTCTTTAATTTTTTGAGAAAGATGTTTAGCACCCAAATTGTCTCTCTCCACCCAAGAGCTATCAAAGGGTAGCCGTGAACCGTCATGGAACGTTGACGAAATTCTTTGGGGTAAGGGGTGGGGTGTGTTGAGGCTCACTAGCCAAAGAGTAGTCACCTACGGCTACAATTCTGTCCCCTCCCTCCTCTTATTTGCTTGCTTTATTTTGCGTTGCTTCTTTTACCTTCATGTCTTTGTGTTGCAACAAAGTAACAGCTAGAACAAACGAAAAGATTTCGTGAGCCTTTTACTCTCAGGATCTGATTGTCAAATCTCCCCTCTAGCTGCTACACATTTCCTTGTTAATTAATATCAAGAATTTGGGGTTAGATCAAGAGGACAACTACGTGTTTGTGAAAGTGTATTACTTTGTTCTCTTCTTTTTCCCAGCTTCAAGCGGCGTTGGACAAATTCGAGAAGGAGGCCGGTACAGCTCAAGCGAACGTGACACACATGGCCGCCATGATACCCATGGTGACAGAACAATTCGAGAAGTATAAAATACAGCTTGTTATTACGGAACAGAAGGCCAAAGACGCACATGAAGAATCTGTGACAGCTGAAAAGGTTTGTTACAGATTCGCGAAGAGGGGTTAAAATGCCAACCTTTCCCTCTCCCCACATACACAGCATTGAGATTTTCTAGGTGTGTGGAAGCATTATTTGAAAAGGAAACTCCTCCTTTAGCGTCTTACACATTAACATAAATATCTCTTATTAACCAAGCGCGAGGGCCGTACTGGGAGAATATCGGCCCGAGGTCTTGACAGTACGGACCGAGCGCAGCGAGGTCNNNNAACTTAACTGGCCTCTTTTCACTCAAGATGGGATTTCAAAAGTTTTGAAAATGGTGCAAGAAAACTATCAGCTAAAGAAACAAAAGAGACTGGTTTGGGTGCCAGAACCTCCTTTCCTATCCTTTAAATTTCGATTTTAAAACATGGCTTCGTGCCCGTTAAGTTAGCGGGACCCCGACCGAGGCCCCCGACCGAGGACATTGTGTTAATAAAATAACAATCATTTATTAGGAAGCTCCATCACAATAGTGGTTTACATAGAGGTCCTAAATACTAGATGTTTATTATATAAAAATTCAATTAACATATAAAATTTGAGCTAAAATCGAAATATAAAAATGATTACAACCTATACACTGCAAAGATTAATTAAAAGAAAACTTAATTATAAAAAGCCGAAAAGAGACACTTCTTAAAAATTGGCAAACCTACTGAGTTTCTTACAGTTCACTCTAACTCATTAAAGTCTTTGAAACAGTGATACCGCGAACGATGTTTTCCCCAGTTGTATTTAATTTTGGGCAGCTTTATAGCATCGTTATTGCGCGTATTGTAGGAGTGCATATCACTCTTTCTTACAATGTCCAAAGAATGATTAGCTTCGCCATTAATACACTTGTATGCATATATACATCGATGACATTTCCTACGTTCCTCAATATTCAGCCATCTCAAGACTGTTAATGCATCAGTGGATGAGGAGTGAAGTGATCTATTGAATATCAGCTTAGCTGCTTTGTTTTGCAGAATTTGCGATTCCTTCATTAGTGTGACATTGTCCTTGTCACCCCAGACTAAATCAGCATAATCAAAAATAGGCAGCACTAAGCTATTATGAAAAAGTAACCGGGCATTATAAAGTAAATAATACTTAATACTACGTAAAAGACCAAGGTTCTTATTAACCTTCTATGAAATATATTCAACATGCTCGGACCATGTAAAAGTTGAGGACAACATAACTCCCAAATATTTAAAACTAGTTACTACAAAATTTAAATCAGTGTCAAAAATAGATAATGAGAAAGAGGAAATGCCAACAAGTTTCTACCTATAATCATGGATTTCGTCTTAGTAAGATTCAAAGTTAGCTTATTTCCATGTAGCCACCGGGCAACTTGCAAGAGATCATCATTCAATGCCTCTTCCAACAGGTGTCGCTCCTTAGCAAAGTAGTACAGGACCGTGTCATCAGCATACAAAGTCACCTTGCAATTCTTTATAGCCAGAGGAAGGTCATTAATATAAACCAACAAGAGACGCGGTCCTAGAATACTCCGCTGTGGCACCCCAAAGGTCATCGGGAGAGGGACAGACATAGCATCACTACAGGTAGTCCGCTGTTTACGATGACTCAGGTAGGACTTGAACCACTGTAGCGTGCTGGGCGAGACACCAATAGCCGACAATTTAGATAACAAGATCTTATGGTCAACGGTATCGAATGCCTTGATCAAATCTAAGAACACTGCACTGCACAGTTCTCCACTCTCCATATGCAATAGAACCTCATCTGCAAAACTGGTGAGAGCTGATGTCGTAGACAGTTTGGAACGGAAGCCAAATTGTTTATTTGAAATGAGGTTAATTAAATTTAGAAAGTCAGAGAATTGGAAGTGGACGTCTTTTTCCAGTATTTTACTCATCGTTGGCAGAATGGGAATTGGAATTAGAATTGGACGCATCTGTCCTATCTCCAGTTTTGAAAAGTGCAGCCAATTTCGAGCATTTCCATTTTTCAGGAAAATTACCAGTGCGAATAGAGAGATTCAATAACTTGGTGATCGAGGGACAAATAGCACGCGCGTCACACTTTAAGAGTCTCGCAATGATGTTGTCCAAGGCAATAGCTTTATTTGTGGTGTGTTCTTAGACAAGATACTTTACTGTCAAAATTCCCTTTTTTAACCCAGGTGTTTAAATGGATACCTGGGGGTGTAGAAATACCCCTAGTCGCTTCATGCAACGGAACCGGGGTTAAGCGCCAGCCTGATGGGCCACTTGACTCGTAAATAGATTTTACCTTTTTTACCTTTGTGAAATGCTTGAGGGTAACCTCACGATGGACTGGCATACAAACCAGGGGGGGGGAGTAGTGATGAGCGCCGGTTGGGTGGGCCACTTGGCTTGAGTGCCAAGCCTACCCTTTTACCTTATATATTACGAAATGAACTGTGGATTCCAACCACTGTGTGCAGTCAATCCTGCCGATCAGCGGTTAGGCACAAAAGCTGTCTGCCCCTTCCCCTTGGGAGAAATAATGTAAATGCTGTGGTATTCGATAGGCCGCTAAATTCTTCCACCAGCCGCTGCCAATCTCAAGGACAATTAATCTTTTCCCAGTCCTGTATTTAAGAGTTTGTGTAGCTTGTACTGTTATTTGTTGGTTCTCTGCCTCTTTCATGTCGCATCTTTGTCATGAAAGCGTCACGGTATGCTCTGTAATTTTTTATTTTTCGTTTTTATTAGTCAATAGGTCTTTTATTCTCGGTAATAATCATCTTTTGTATCTTTTTCCTTTCCTTTCGTCGTTCATCAATTCTTTCCTTCTTTCTGTCTTTATGTAAATTTTAGCGGTAGATGTTTTTACCTAACCTGAAAAGCTTTCCTGGTTCTTCGTCGTCAGTTGTAGAGAAAGCATTTTGTAACTCTTAGAAATTGGATCGAGATTTGATGATAACCTTGTTGATTTGGTCATTGTTGAAGAAATTTACTCTCCCTAACAGTGGATCTTGGGACTATGAAATGTTTCACTTTGTCCTTTAACTGTCATTGTGTTTGTCCTTCTTTCCTTTACTTTACGTGGGATTTTTTTTTTATCAAGTCTCAGTTGTTTTGTTTACTTGTTTCTTTATTTACTT